ACTAATATACACACACTTACATTAGATCATCTCATACCAAACTTCAAAACAAACCATTGAAAAATGCTTACTATTTCCTCCATACGTATATACCTCCAAATATCTTAATTAGCAAAAACAAATTTCAAATAAAATAAATACTTAAATTATAATTTCTAAACCTTAAAATATAAACTAAAAACACTAAATAACGCATTAAATTATTCACGTATAAATACTAAGCATTAGACCCGAAACACCAAATACTGTTGACTTCATTAACACTACATTTAGAAAACATTTGAATTATTGGAACAACGTATTTAAGAAACCACAATATTATGCCAACCTTACTTAAACATTTTTTTGCATGCCGATTGTTTCATAATACTACATTTGTTACTTACTCTTATAAACTACTGTAAGCAAGTATTATTATGAATCTGGAGCTCTTTTCATACTAAATAAGCTCAAACTAATATACTAAATTATTCTTTCTTTACACTATTCTTAAAATAAATTCTGATTTGGGGAAGGGATTTTACCGGCAACTCAAGTTATATGTTTGTTTTCAAATAATACGTACATTCTTATCTGCTTCCAAACAATAATTGAGAACTCAAAGTTTTAAAACATAACAATATGTGATCTATACAATACAAATTCAAGTGGTGAATATATATATATATATATATATATATATATATATATATATATATCTAAACTTTAAGGGAATATATGACATTATGACTTATGCACTCAAAGGTATAATCTTTGAAAACAATGACAACAACATTAGACCAATTGAAATACTTGAAACGAAATTTGTCAACTTACACCTACACATGTTAACTTACAATGTAAACAATTAGACCATATAACAAATATTAAATATTATGTCATATCATTAATTGATATCCCGCGCGAAGCGCGGGAAACCCCTAGTAATCAATAACTTAAATGGCAATGATAATGAATGTGAAGATTTGTTAAGATTATTGTTTCTACATAAAACTACATAACTAAAAATGGTTATGGTTATACTGATTGCTTTGTATAATATTTGAATTAATGCTATAGCATACATGACACATCTTTAAAAAAAAAATACATGAGGTTTGGAGTTTGAAAAATAAAGATGCTTTCAGCGCAGATTTATCTTTCAACCAATGTTGAGAAATGTGTTAAACATTGCATCCCGAATAAATGCAAGAAAAAAGCCGGAAAACCTAATATGACAATTTGTGAAGAAGCTTGTAAGAATTTTTGAAGTAAAAAACTAACAAGTGTTGAAGTATTTATTGTTTCTAAACCACCTATGTTCCTGATTGCAAATTTTATAAGTTCTGGACTTGTTAGTCATAATTATTTTCAAATTTGCATCTTCTGTTATTTTCTTACTTTTTACATTAAAAATGTGTTAAATATTGCATCCCGAATCAATGCAAGAAAATAGCCGAAAAACCTGATATGACAATTTGTGAAGAAGCTTGTAAGAAGTTTTGCAGTAAACAACTAAAAAGTGTTGAAGAATTTGTTGTTTCTAAACCACCCAGTGATGTTCCTGATTGCAGATTTTATAATTTTTAGAATTGTTAGTCATAATTATTTTCAAATTTGCAATCTTCCGTTATTTTCTTACCTTTTAGATATAATTTATATATTGTATATTTGTGTTTGTTTTATCTGATACATGATATATATGTTGTCTTTTTAAAAAATTATGGTGAAATATTTTTTTTATTTGTAACAATTTTTATCGGTGTTAACAAATATTTGATAATCAAACTTTCGTTAATTATATTTCACAAAAACATATCACATCAACTCTAATAAAAGCATAATAACAACCAAGAGATATATTTATTTTAAATCAATATGAATGCTTAAAATGATGAAATGGTTGTCATATTCATAATGAGTAAAAGTGACAAAAAACATTAAAAATCATAATGATAAACATCCGATATGAGAAATTCTTAATACTTAATCATCAAATCCTAAACATATACTCATCTAACGTCAATCAAAATAAGATTTAGAGGTGAAATAATCAATAAATTAAATGGTGATGAAGACGAATGTGAAATTTTGTTTGAGTGTAGCTTAGAATAGTGATAATTTGACATCTTCTTTGATTTCTTAACATATACTCCCTCCGTTTCGGTTTATATGTCATTGTATGTTTTGAAACTCGTTTCATTATAAGTGTCCTTTTATGTTTTCAATGCATTTATTTGTTAGATTTTCCAATATTATCACTATTCTTTTAGCTCATCAATTAACATAATCAAATAAAATAATATATTAATTAGGGATAAAACAAGAAATTTATTGATTTTCTTAATCTCTGTGTAAAGATCAATAATGACATATAAACCGAATAGACGAAGTAGAAGATAAGAGTGATGGTGATCTTCATTTTCATGTAAGGCTTTATGTGCTCCAAAATTGACTATATACACTTGCAGAATCCTCCAAAAGAAAATTGTCAGTGTGAGGAACAATGGATGGAAAAACAATGAATTTGAACAATTATACTAGAAATGATTATGGGATTTGGACATGTTAGGTAACAAGTCGATGCATATTTTGAAACTGTAGTTGAGATCCATTGCAAATTAGTTATTAAGAGAAAATATAATACCATGTTTCTCTTTAGCACATGAAGCTAAGAGAGGACAAGAAAGAGGAGTCAATAGAGAAATTTGTTTCATGGGTTTAGTTTTTTTTTTTGGTGTGGTGAAGTGTTGTAACCCTAATTTTTTACAAGTGTTTGATGGGATATATATGACAATAAGCAACATATTTAACATGGTTAAAATAAAATTTAGGAGTTCCATATACGGTTTCTTCTAAGAATGCTAATTTAGATAAGAAATTTATCAAATGATAATCACCGATTACAGTTTTGAGAATAGATAACTATACAAGATTTTACTTTAGATTGGGAAAATTAGTAAGAGTATGAGTGTAAGAATTTTCTAAGATATTTCAGTATTGTTTAATATAAGAGAAAAATATTGTTTTAGAGAAGAAAAAAAATTATTGTTTTAGAGAATGGATGATCTAATATAATTTGTTACGGAAATCTATATGGAATACATAGGCATGGGCATAAAATCTGAAACCCGAAATCCGAACCGAACCCGAACCGAAAAACCCGATCCGTTATCCGACCCGAAATGTAAAAATACCCGAATGGATTTTATAGGATGGTATAAAAAAATCCGAACCCGAAGTGTTATTTAACCGAATCGGAACGGGTAACCCGAAATATCCGAAATTAATAGTTAATATAAATATTTTAAATGTATATATATAAATAAAAATATTTTAGATATTCAGTTTAATGTTTATTTTGATATGATACATACAATAAATATTAAAATATAAATAAATACCTTAAATATATAATTAGTTATAAATAAGTACTTTGTAATTTGTTCATTAAAATAATAAATTTAGTTTATATGTAAGATAATGCACATTGTTTACAAGTGATGTATGTTTTAATGACTGATTTAACATTTTCTTTTTATTTTTATCAATTTTATGTATGTATGATTAATTTATATTCAGTTTCAGTGCTTTTCTTTATGTTTTTGTTTCGAAATTTTGTTTTATACTTCGGGTATATCCGAACCGAACCGAAATAACCCGAATCCGAATGATATATGGTTACGTTACGGGTTTTATGTTGCAATACAAATTTGAACCGAACCCGAAGTGTTATTATCCGAACCCGACCCGTACTAGTAAAATATTAGAATGGGACCTATGAGCGTAAACCCAAAAACCCGAAAATCCGAAAAACCCGATCCGAACGCCAACGGGTACCCGAACGCCCAGGCCTAGGAATACATATGCCAGGTGAGTCATGCGACGAAGTAATGTAATATGTTCGAAAAATTTCCCTAGTCGCCTAGTTGGACGGCTAGTTGGCTGTGTGGTTCTAACTGATGGGATTTTAGGTAAATCAGTGAGAGAAAGCAGCCACCCGGTCCAGGCGGTCCAAACCGACTAAAATTGGGCTAATATGGTTAATTGATTCATTTTCGGTTTACAATTTGGTTCAGAATTAAAGATTAATACGACTTCTTTTTTTTAATTATACAGAGATATTCTGGCCCTAAATAAGTGGTCCAAACTAGTCACGTGTTGTCAAGTGCCTATCTTTTGTCTCTGGTGATGCCAAAATGTTAATTTCCCATTGGCCAGGACTCAAACCCTGGTGGCTTCACCTTATTGGACTTTTTACCCTCAAGTTCATAACCACCGGGCTACAAGTCCTGGTTGATTAATTAACTAGGAATTTGCGTGGCTTAGGGTTTAGTTAATTAATCTATCTTCACTTCACATATAAGCTTTTGCTTCTTTATCTTTTATGATTATTCCAAGCAACGACTCTATTATTTTAGTCACCAAGTCCACACGAACCACAACAGGTTTGCTAGATTTTTTTTTTTCTTCTTGTCTCCTGCTTTATTTTTATTGTTATAGCAATTTATCACTTTATCTTATGTTTCATGTTTCTTCTGTTTCAAGTTTCCTCTATTTGAAGTTCTACTTACGTATGTTTTTACCTTTGTTTTTGTTATTGTATGATTAAATTAGTTATATATGTCTGATCATGTTCCCTTTCCTTTGTGTCTAATATGATTCTAATGTTTACAGAATTACAGGTATTCATGGATTCACAACCTTTAGCTCCAGTGGCAACATTTCCATTGAAACGTAACTCCAACGATATCGGTTGGGAATATGAAATTTTGTGTGATCTGAAGAATCCAGATATAGTTAAATGCAAGTTGTGTTCAAAAGAGATGTCTGGAAGAGTATAACGGATTAAGGAGCATATTGTTCACATCCCAGGAAACGTGGCTGCATGTTCAAAGTCGTCGAAAGATGATCAAACTAAGTGTAGAAAAGCGATCGCAAAAGCAAGGAAGAAGAAAATGACCAAGAAACATGAAAGTGATTTGCTAAGAGCTGAAGTGAGCTAAAATACAGCTCTTAAGTCTTAATCATATTTATAGGCCCACTCCAAGTAATTCAAAGTAATTTTGGTGTTGTTTCGTACACCCATCTTCACAAAGCATAAGTAAACAAGTAAGTTATGAGAATACTTCTTTGATTTGAACACATGAAGAAGTCCGTAGAATGTTTAAAAAAAGGTCTCCCATTTCTTTCACTTTGACCCCTCTAAAACCCAAACCAATAAAACAACCCCAATAAGCAAAGAACAATCAAGCTAAGGAAATGGCAATTGGACTCCTCACAACATGGTACTTATCTGTCCAACTAAACCATCCGAACTGGTACTGACCCTTTTCAGTCACATTCATCATCTTGTCCTTCCGTACCGTGATCATGATTTTAAACCGCTTCTTTTGACCAATCCGGTTGAATGACAACACACTCGGTTTAGCCTTAACCGAGACTCCCAATGGCGATCTAGCACTGAATATATATGTGCTTGTTGAGTTACCATTTCCAACATTTGTAACCGTTCTTTTAACGGTCACCGTCCTGTTGAGATTTGGGATAGAAATTGACGGATAATTGAGGTTATAACCAGGAGGGACTTTACTTGGACATTTGAATGTCGGGTCAATATTGGTAAAACCAACTGAGCAACCATAGAGAAGATATGCTCGGTATGATGCATCATAGACTAAACCGGGATCAGCAGCTTTGGTAGGTCTGAAATGTCCTGATCCAAGTGCAAATGGGTTTGCGGGTAAACCGTTAGTATCTTGGATCGGTTTCTTCTCATCGTTGGTCATCCAAGCTATAAAAAATTACAAGAAATATCTCAAAGACTGTTGAACAAGATTGAGGTTTAAGGTAAACCAAACCAGCCAAATAACCAAGATTTGTTTTTATTTACCAGTGGTCATAAGAGCAGATCTTATAGCAGCACTACTCCACTTAGGATGAATAGCTTTGAGAAGAGCAATTGCACCAGAAACATGAGGACAAGACATAGAAGTTCCTGTGTAGATATTATACTCAGCAACTCTTTGATCTACCCAAATTTTGCTCGGTGAATCCGCTCCGCTCCATGCAGCTAGTATATTCAGTCCCGGTGCAGTAATATCCGGCTATAAAAACAGCAAAACACAATTAAACCGGTTGATTCGGTTATAAGTTATTGTGTGTGTGTGTGTGTGTTTTTTTTTTTTTTGGCATAAGTTAAAAAGACAAACAAAGTTACCTTTAGAATGTTGGGATCTACGAGGTTCGGACCACGGCTAGAAAAACCGGTCATTAAAGGAGCTGGCTGGTTTTTGTAAACTGTAGTCCCCGCTTTGATGAAAGCTATCGGGTTTTTATCGGTTTTGATGTAGTCAAGAATTTTTTCGACCACAGTAGGGGTAACAGCAGCTGTGGCAACAACGTGAGAGTCTGAAGGAATTTCATTGCCGTTAGCCAGAGAATTCCCAAGAATCATACCGACTCCTCCAGCACGTTTTACCTCCATACCTTTACCGATTCTTGAACCGGCTCCTCTTAAACATAAAACCACTTTACCATTCACAAGCTCCGGTTTAAGTGAATTAGGTAAACATTGCCTTAACCAAATTAAAAAAAAAAAACTCAGCAAATTATAATACAAAACTAACTTAATATAAACTTGATAAAAGACTTCTTACGATGTATTATTCAATTCAATGCCGGGAACAGCCACATCAGCAGCGTACACTAGAGGTGCAAATTTGTCCATTTTAAATGCAGTTATCGACTCCGTCTAAAAAAAACACAAAAGGAAACTATATGTTATACAAAAGTGTCACATGCATATATAATTGATTGATTATTTAACTGTGGCCTTAATTACCTTGACTGTATATCCATTACCAAGTACAAGACCACCAACGAAAGCACGATCAAGAGTACTAGCTCCCACGGTAATAATCCACGGTGCTGGATTTGACAAAGTCCCAGGTTTCGGCCCTGAGTTCCCCGCGCTAGCCGCAACCACGATATTTCTTTTAATCGCATGCAACGCTCCTATCGCGATTCCATCTTGCGAATAAGGCAAAGGCTCGGTAGTCCCTATCGAAACGCTGATGACGTGAACGCCATCAGCGATCGCGTCATCAATCGCGGCAAGCATGTCTTCTTGTAGACATACGTTTCCGTCCACTTTTTCTTGGTTGGGCTTGGCCCAACAGGCTTTGTATACGGCTAGACGAGCTAATGGCGCACCTCCCGATGCCGAGCCCATGGCAAAACCGCCGAGTGCGGATGCACCGATGACTCGCCGACCAACCGCGGTAGAGGCTGTGTGGGATCCATGTCCGTCGGGGTCTCGTGGAGACAAGAAGTCTCTGTTTGCTGTAACATTGAAAGCTCCGTAATATTTTTCGTACCCTTTCACGTAATACCTAGCTCCAATAATTTTCCTGTAATAAGTGAAAACGAGAACATGCAAAGTTGAAATTGTTAATACTTTTGTGTCTAATCCAGATCACTGTATAATTAAATATTTTAAAAGAAACTATTTAAAATCAACACGTACGGCATAAGGACGACATACAACTTCAATCAATACTAGATCATAACCCGCCCGACTGGGCGGGTCTTTATTTTTATGGTATATATAAACATTTCAAAAAGTACAATCTAATGGTTCCAATTTTATTAAGTAATAGTATACTGTTTAAATATTGTATTTCATCATTGTATTGTGTAATAGGGGCATCGGTATAATAATGTGACCCGTTAATATTTTAGTAATAGTTTATAAGGTTTTTTTTTGCTAAATTTGGTACAAAATTATATACACGAAACAATTTAGTCAAATTTTTAAGTTAATTTTGCGATGAAAAATTAGAAAGCAAGTATATCACTATTAAAAACTTATAATAATAGTCAATATAAATTATATAAATAAAATATATATTATTTTTGATTTATTCTAAATAAATTTAAAACACAAGTATATATATGTAAAAATAATTTTCAGAAATAAAGTAATATTAATGATAGAAAAACCAAAATCAATAATAATGATACTTTGGGCCACATTAATCTTTAGTTTAATAAATAAAGTCCATTAGGTTTGTAGGCTATCATTGTTTCCAATCACCATAATTTTAAATATTTTCTATTCATGTTTCCAAACACTTAATTTTTTGTACTTCAGCTTTAATAGTATAGATACAAAATAGTAGATAAATAAAATGTTTTTAGCATGCACAATCACACAAATAGTAAATCTTTGAAATTAATATATAAATGATATTTTAAATAAATAGACACGTAACCTCGGGCACACATTGATATTACAAACATTAGATTTGATGGTAAAGCAAATAAGGGGAAAGTCACGGGTGTACAATATTATCTAGAAAGCATCAAATAAGTTTTTGTCCCTTACATATATACCAAAAGCTTATTATTATAAAGAACCAAAGCTTATCTAGATATCAAAGCTTCCTTTCATGTATCAAAATAGCCAATATATATGTCTTTTTATTTCATACGTGAACAGTAAGACTGCAAATGAAACAATTCTAATAATTTGTTATACTATATACATATAATTATGTTACGTTGGTAATTAATATAATAAAGAAAGAATGGACGGACACTCGTGAATGATGACGCAGAAGCTTAAAAGTTGTGATCAATTATAGCAACCGAACAAAACACTGAGACATGTGACCTAACGTTTTGGACAGTGCAAGTCACAAAACTATTCCTTCTATGGGGAATGTTGCTATATATTGAAAAAAGAAAAATGTATGTTATAATAATGGAAGCCTTACACGTAATATTTATCTAATTATTTTAAACGGTTTATTTGGTGATTAGATTTGCAGTATTGCAGAATGATATACGTTTTTCTAAAAGCAGAATGATATAATTAAGTTTTTTTTTTTACGAAACAGAATGATATATATAAGTTGTAAAAAGAATAAAATATGTTGGATCTATTCTGAATGACTCTGAGATTTCACGATTTAAAGTTTTTACTCTTCTCTTAAAAATATATATCAACATAACAAATTTAAGAAGAAAAATATTCGTCTACTTTATTTGTAAACAAATATTCCTCTACTCTTTGTCAAAAAAAAAGAAACATTCGCCTACTTTATTGCATGGGTGGAGAGACGATGCTATTATGCCCATTATACGTACTATATTATAAAACATATAGTTATACTTATATACAAATATATATATATATATCTGAAAAATCGTGAAATAGTTTCAGGATTCTGACATTTCAAAGCTATCATTCACAACTTACATCATTATTCACAAACTTACATTTCCATATGCAAAGGGCTTTGGATCAATACTGAACAAATATATCACATCATATATGGAAAGGAATTTGTCGCACTGAGCATATGGTTCATTGGATCTTTGCAAAAGAACCAAAGATGATATAGACGTGTAACATTTCTTAATCTATTTCTAATTCTTGTAAAAATATTCTTCCTTTTTTTTGGTTTTGCATATTTGGCTAATTGGGGTTTAAATATTTGTAATTTAAGTCATTGAATTAGACAATAATTGGGATTAACACATATATGTATCTATACTCTACAGTTTCGAATCTAGATTATAGATATACAGATGCCAAAATCCTTTGTATCTCAAAAGAACCTACAGCTATTTGTTTGACAGGTAAAATAAAGAAACTATAGATATGTAGCTAAAGTAACATTAAGTGAATATTTAAAACGATTCAATAATTAGTTAAGATATTTTTTTATTTTGTCGCTAAATAATTACTATAAACAAAATGAAGATATTTATATCTGTTTACAGAAAAAGGAGGAATTATCTTACCGGTTGCAGTGAGAAGAGTTAAAGGCAATTCCGGTTTGGCAGATTCCTTTCCATGATTCTGGAACGGGTCCCATTCCTTTGTCACTGAAACTCTTTGATTCTGGCCACACCCCTTTTATTTTTCGAAAAGAGTATGAGAAAAAAACAAATTATTTTCTGTTATATCACAACAAGTTGGCAATGATGGATTAATAACATTATTTTAATATTAATGATATGGAACCAAAAGATGTAAGAAGATAAATTAGAAATTTCCTTGAATCTCGAATTTCTTGATCATAACGCAACTCTTTATGTTCTAGTCACGTAAAGATTCAGATATCAACGTTGGAGTTAGGTCCAGTTAAGTTTGGTGTACGTCTTCCATCAAAATGAAAACAGTGATTATTCTCAGAATTCAATAAATATTAATATTATCTAAATATAGAAAACCCATCTTATGGCTGTTATCTCGGCGCCTATATGCGTATGTGCGTGCGTGAAGAAACAGGAGACAAAAGCAAAGATACAAAGTAAGGATATAACACAAACAAAAAGTTCACATATGAATTATAAGATTGATTCTTTACCATTCATTTTATCCAAAAATCGTTAACGGAAAAACTCAAAATATTAGTTACAGAAAAAAAAGTCAAAATATCTAAAACCCATAACGTTTAAATTTCTTTTATTTTTTTTTACTTTTCATAACGTCTTAATTTATTTAGGTAAACAATTCTGATTTTTTTTTTGTTTTGCAAATGACAGTTGCTATGATACTCATATTATAAATAAATAACAAGTAAATAAAATGTAAAATGCTCTTGCTTAGCCCAAAAATAAAATACTGACAGCTTTAAAAAAATCTATTTCAGTATTTTGTAACTAACAGAAAACAACATTATTCTAAATATTGACCAGAGATAGCTTAACTTACCACTGTCGAGAACACCGACGATGATTCCATCTCCATGCTTTGCCTTCTTCAAAAACTTCCTCCCGACCCTAAACCGATCGTCTACATCGTTTTTTTGACGTTGAGCATCATCGGTTTCCTCCTCCTCCAGTCCTACAAATTCCCATGACCGTGTAGTATGGGTTTCATATTTTCTTGGGTGGCTCTCGATTACGGAAATAACCTCTTCAAGTTCTGAGATAAAAGAAAACATAAAAATCAACAAAACTGAGTTTTAGTTAAAACCCTTTTTCAATCATAGCATTTGTTTTTTTCTTTCACGTTTTACTTACTTTCTAGTTTAGAGGCTTCATCAGGGGTTAGCTCAGCTGCAAAGCCATTGATGCTATGTTTGTAGCTATATAACAGCGATGACTTGGCTTCTTCTTCGGATTCTTTAACCGATTGAAGATAAGAATGATGGTGTTCTTCAATTTCATGTAAAGCTTTATCACCTTTATGTTCTCCAAAATAGACAATATACACCTACAAAATCCCCCAAACAACTATCAAAATATTTATTGAAATGCGAGAGGAATTGATTAAGAAAAATATTTGAAATTTGAACCCAATATGTTAGCAAATCCATGCAAATTTGGAATGGAGAATCACTTCAAATTAAAGTGTAGATTGTAGAATGATTAATTTGACTTTTATAAAAATACCAATAAGAACCTGTTTTTGTTCAGAGCAAGAGGCTAAGAAGGGGACAAGAAAGAGGAGAGGGACTAGAGAAGTTAGCTTCATGGCCTTAGACTCTCTCTCTCTTTTTCTGGTGGAATGTTGTAGGCCTGATGATTTATAGGGTTGGGGGAGTTGATGGGCTATTTATACTAGACAAAGAGCAGCAAGTTTCACAACTCTGTAAGAAAATAATGTAAAGAAAAAATTAGCAGAAAACAAACTTAACTAACCGTGGTAATCTAATGGTTCAAAATTCACCATATCTGTCGAAGTCAAGGATAAGTCTTACTCGTTGAAACTTCATGTTGGGCCTGTTGGCCACTAAAAAAAGTTATAAAAGATTTATTTTTTATCATTTATCCATTTGATTATACCAAGTTTTTAGTCAGATAAGAGGCTCTTCAGAGAAGCACTATCTAGCTCTATTTAATCTGTATGAAGAAAATTCACTAATTAAATGGTTAGAAAACTCACTTTTTACTTGTTAGAATTAGTGGGTTTGATATAGTAATCTTTGGTCAAAAAAAAAAAAAGATATAGTAATCAAAAGAATTAATAGATTTGACCAATTTCTTTTTTATCATACTGTATAGAATAAAGTGTCGTTTTCGTTACAAAATAATTATAGTTTAATAATTTTAATGTAGGTTTTCTATTTTATTCCCTCTGATTAGATTAAGATAAACAATATATATTATGAAAATAGATAGTCAAATAAGGGTAAAATAAACATTTAACTTTTATATGGTTATTTTGGGATCTAGATTTAAGATATATATATATTGTTTTAAATCTTATCTATTAATTTTAGAAATTTGATTTATTAAGATAAATATTATGGATGTTGAATAGGAAATAATATGAGTATGTATTGATGCAAAAATTGTATGCAGAAGATGTATGATTTCATGGGGGAATCTAACTTTAACTGAAATTTGATATTACTTTTCAAATATATCTCTAAATGTTATCTATTTTCATAAATACTTTAATTTATTATGAAAAGGAGAAAATTAACAATCATAAATCATTTACTAATATTTAAGAATTATTTTTAGAAATTTATAAATCCAACCCAGTCCCCTAAATACTAAGCCCTAACCAATAATCACTAAATCAGTAAATCTTAAGTCAAATGTTAAGTTATTTTTACTTGAGTGTATTTTTGAAAGAATGATATCTAAATTACTGTATTTTAAGCAATTTATCTAATTCATTGATTAATATTATAATTGATTGACACATAAGTAATTGATTTATAAATAAAGCTCTCATATAAAGTTATTAGATAATCTATAATTTGTTTATTAAATAGTTATATCTATAATATATGATTTTATTATAATAAAATTTAATCTGAAAGCTTTATTTAATGATTAAATATATATCTATATATATTATTTTCTTATAAAAATAATTTATAATATAACCATAGTAAATTGGTTGCATAAATTTTTTTTTTTGATATTTTAAAGCTAAAATTTACCTAAATATTCATATGAAAGCATTGAACAAATAGAATTTCGAGAGTACTTACATCTTCTAAATATTTCTCTAACTGCTTTTGTAAGAAATGATTGGATGATAAATAGCATATTGTCTTTTGTAAAAGTTTACTACTCCAAATTATTAATATTTTATTCATATTATTTGAAGATTGTAATAAGATTGTTGAGAAGTTTCTTGAAACACCATAAGTTAGCTATCACTTTAGAAAAATATCTTCAATCAAAAATATTTTAACATTTGGGTTTAAGGTTTAGTGATTATTGTTTAATATTCAAGAGGTGTAGTTGAGCTTATAATTTTTTATAAATGATTATTAAATATTTATACATAATTTAAGAGGGTTAATATAGTCTTTTCCATCCTAAAATGAAAATATTTATGAAAATAATCTTTCTTTAAAGATAAATTTGAAAAATAGTATCAATCTTGTTGTACAATTAGAATTCTCCCAAGTTTGTTTCTCATACTAAAATGGAATAGTCTGATTTTTATGTGGAACTAAACCAAACATATAGCTTCAAGATTTATGGAAACTGTTTTTAACCCAAACGTATATATTTAATATTTTTATGTTTTTTAAGTTTCTTGGTTAGAATTTTTTTTGAAAAAGTTAAATATTTTGAGTAGCTGTCAATAAAACTATACCAGTTAGTAGTAAACATTAAAATCGATTTATGAAATGTGTTTATGCATAAAAATAACTATACCTTAGGATACCAATAAAGAAAAATATTCAAAACGAACTATTTATTTCATTTTGATTAATTAAACCCCACAGAGATATTTGTCCTAAAAATTTTTTTAACTGTGAGTGTTTAGTAAAAACATAAGAAGGTTACAGCTTGAACCACAAGTAAAATTGGTTTTAAAAACGTATTTTGGTTAGTATTGGTTTAGTCCCTGGAAATATCTTGTGTTGGTTTCTTATATAATCAGTTTAAAATTGTTAGTATATATGTTTATTCCACAGATGGAGATGTCAGAGCTTCACATGATTATATGTTTAGTGTTCTGGGGTAATACAAAATTACCCTATGAAAATACTAGGCAATGAACAAAAGGCAATTGCTCAAAGTATAAAAAACACATCAGATAAGTGTTAGTTTCATAATAGAACTCTAAATTAATTGATTAAATATTGTAAAGAAAAAAAATTCTTGTTAAAAACTATTTATTTAGAAGCCCTTTCTCAGAAAAACAAAAAAAAAACTATTTATTTAGCAAAACCACGTCATCCTAATATAATAAAAAAAAGGAAATAAATAGCAACTTGAGGGACCGACGTATGTAGTTGGCTACGATAAAAGTAGCTGATGGTTTGATTGGATAGTCAGTCTCACCATCCTTCTGTTTCTTGGGAAAATCTTTTCAGGCCGTTTTTGTTTGCTATGCCAAGTGCCAACTCTCGTAACAGAATTCAAACTTTCTACCTGCGCAACTTTCAGTTTTTATTTTTTCATTATTTTGGATAATCTGAATTATATTTTTTTATAATCTGATTTATATATTATCTTCTTCCGTTTTGGGAGGTGAGAATAGGATAGAACAAGAACTAGAGTTAGACGACAGAATCACCTTATACTGTATTATTTACAGAAATGCGAGAACAACAGAATTTTACGGTCATATGTATATTTTTACATTTTCCAAAATGCTGTCAAAATTCATTGAATTCAAGAACGTCTGGTTTATATATAATGGTCATCGATCAAGTGGCACTGTTTACGTAAACATTTATGGGGTTTAAGTTAAAGTCATCTCCAATCCAATGCTAACGCTATTTTAGTAGAGTTTTCTTTTTTCACATTAAAAACTCTTCAATCCAATTCTTAATTAATATCATATCGTTTTAATGTACAACTATACTACCATACCAAATTTAATATGTTTTTTTTCCATCAATATAAATAGATTTATGAAGACTTTGTAAACTATACTAATAACTCTACATCTATATAAACAATAAATGACAGTTATTTCTTGACATTATGTGATAGGTTGTTTATCCTTAAGTTTTGAGTCCTAGATATATGAATGATTTCTGAATTGTGAAAATTTTATCGAAAGATTTGATATCTTTCAAATAACTTGTAAAAACTGACAATTCTTCTGGTTTCGAAACCATTATCACCAACTGGGAGCATTTCGTTGTAAATATAATATAAAACTAACATAAATTCCGCATGCCTTCTGTTACTCCAATGAATGCCTCTGTTTCTGAATGAACGGATAAAAGATTGGCCCTTGTATTTCTGAATGAACGGATGAAAGACTGGTCCTCGTATTTCTCGCCCCCATTAGTTTATCAAATCCCTTCATTGTATTGTACCAACCATGTCCCAAGAATTTTTCCTTGGTTTTCCATGAACACCATCTACAGTATAGAAGGTAAGGTGGTCACCTCTACTGCCTTATTTATTGATGCCCTTCGTGGGAGAGCAGCATGTGCCTCCGTCCAGAGTAAAGATTTCGTTTCCACCAACTTAAAAGTATCTTTGGGATCCATGTCCAAGTTACTAAACACTTTTTTGTTATTTTCTTTTTAAATATACCATAAATCATGTAAATCAGTTATCTTCCAGTTGTGAGAATCCCCACCAATACAAATGATCCATGTTTATGAAAATGATTTAGGTAAGAAAGATACATGGATTCGATGAAATCTGTGAGAGAGCTGAAAATTAAACTGTCAATAGACACTAAAAAAATATATGGTTTATGGATTTTCAGCTACTTCACATATAACACAAGATATATCACTCTATATCCCTTTTGCTCGTTAATATTTTTTTTATTGATATTCATCATGAGACGATTTGCCATAAGAAATGCTTTATTTTCGATGATAACATACTTTCCAGCTAAAAACTTTTAGAAACGACCGTAGGTCCATTTTTTAACAACGTTCTGTTTCTGTTGGAGTAAACTTGTTCTACTTGACAGCTAGATTTCACAGTATATTTTTTATTATTGGTAAGGTGTCATCCATTTTTATCTTCTATTTGTATCCCATCCAATGTTATAACTTTCTATAATCTTCACATTATGGGTATCTACATCAGACCAAACTACATGTAAGTTCCATGTTCACGAAGTTAAATAAGTTTTAAAGATTTACTTAATTTACCGTAGTAAATACTATTCACCACAATAAATACTATTCACTTTTTATTTATAAAACATTAAGTTAAATAAATATTAACAATAAATTTAGTACATATAAAATAGATAAAATCAATATATTACATATATTTAAATGTTAAAATAGTGAATATTTTTTAAAATAGTATATTTTAAGTAATAGAATTAATAAAATTTAGTAAAACAATTGACTTAGTAATATAAAAGTAAAAAAAAAATATAGTTTTGTTGTAAAATTTGGTATTGTGCTTAAATAAGAACTTAAAACTAGTACTAAAACTACACTAAAATAATGTGACTTTTATACTAAAGATGTTATGGATTGTAGATACCTTAATAAAGATATTTGATATTTCATAAGGCACATGAGTGCCCCTTTGCTACTGCTGCCATACCATTATATTTTGCAAATTTTACCTTTAAAATAGATAAACTCTATAATAGAGATAAGA